TTTTAGCCTGTGGTACAAAGCCCAACTATAAGTTGTAACAAATGGCTAGATAAGTAGTTGGGTGGGTGAGTAAGTAAGGTTGTTTGAAAAGAGAAGATTTGTTAATTGTGTACCTTAAACACATCAGAAAACTGGGACAGATGCTCTGCATTTGTTAGCTTTCCATCCAGGATTACAAAATGCTTGCCACAATTCCAGTTTCTCATACAACAAAAATCTAACCATAGAAGAATTTTTTATTTATTTATTTATTTATACAAACACATGTATGCTTCATTTTTTTATTCTAAAAAATCTTTACCAAGAGCTCCCAGCAGACTCGCAACTCATGGGCTAAAACTGGATTAGGTTTACTCCTAAATCATATCCCTAGTGAAGACTTATAAAGTTCTAATAACTGGTTTTCATTCCACATGTTTCATCTCCTAGTACTGTGTACCTTCTGACTTCTATTGGAACAATATTGGGGCTCTCATAGCAAGGGGGTAAAAGTTATTGAGTAGGCAACAGTTGTACCTGCTGTATACCACCCAATGACATTTTGTTCTTGGAGAAATGTATCAAGAGATTGATATTTCAACTATATTCTTTTTTAAAAGTATTTTTAATTGTAGATGGACATAATACATGTATTTTACTTATTTATTTTTATGTGGTGCTGAAGATCAAACCCAGTGTCTCATATATGCTGGGCAAGCACTTTACTATTGAGCTACAACTTCAGCCCCTCAATTATATTCTTAATATTTTAAATTTGGGAACACATAGGGAATTATGTATATCAATATATGAATATTGCAGTAATTTAAGATGGATTAATGTTTCTTTGTATTATGGTTTTCTAGAACAACATTTTTTGGATAGTCTGATTTTGTACTTCTTTTTTGTTGTTTTGGGTACCAGGGGTTGAACTCAAGGTCACTCGACCTCTGAGCTACATCCCCAGCCCTATTTTGTATTTTATTTAGAGACAGGGTCTCACTGAGTTGCTTAGCACCTTGCTTTTGCTGAGGCTTTCTTTCTTTGAACTTGTGATCCTCCTCAGCCTTCTGAGCCACTGGGATTACAGACATGGGCCTGATTTTGTAATTCTTATGAGTAACCATTAACCCTTTAATTTTAGCAATCAACAGCTAGGTCACAGTACAACATATACTGTGCTAATAAAAAATGAATGGCCTTAGAACAAAGTACATACATCAAAGAGAAGAGTATAATTTTTGTAACAAGCTACATTGAGGGGAAATGTTGCAAATCGCTGGAAAATAAATAGTAAACACCTGTGCTGAATAAATTAACCAGCTTGTTGTCAGTTCTTCATTTGACTCATCTAAAAGGGTGACTGTTTCAAAGCATTAATAAGACATTCACTTGGAGATGTTCCTTTGTTAGCACCCTAAATAAGCAGTACTAGATAATATGTGATTTATTTATATCTCCAAATTCACAGGGTTATGTATAGATTTGGGTATTTGTTAAAAGCAATGCATTGACACAAGTGATATTCAGCAATTGTAGTTAGGAAAAATTATTATTGTACTGCATTGTGAATGGCCGTTGGAATTCACATTAGCATTAAAATGACATTAGATTTGTGAAATCTATTTTGCTAGTGAAAAATTTTATAAGACCTAATCATAACAGATTGTTTTATTTATCTTTTGAGATATTATAATATTCTAGAACTAAAGGGTTCTTTTGAAGGCTTTCAGTTTACTAATGTCATTTCATAATTGGCAAATGTGTTTTTATGGTTTTAAAATATATTTAAATTAATAAAATTTAGCTGTTTTACTTTGAAGATATCTTTGAATGTAAAATTTCCTTTTTGAGAAAATGTTTTATACTATAATATTTAGGCTTTAAATTTAGAAGACATTCCTTTTGATGAACAGAATTTTGCTTACTGAAGAATTACGTGTGATTTTTTTTTTTAAAGAGAGAGTGAGAGAGGGGAGAGAGAGAGAGAATTTTTTTTTAATATTTATTTTTTTTTAGTTCTCGGCGGACACAACATCTTTGTTGGTATGTGGTGCTGAGGATCGAACCCGGGCCGCACGCATGGCAGGCGAGTGCGCTACCGCTTGAGCCACATCCCCAGCCCCAACGTGTGATTTTTTAAAGAGTTTTTGGTGTCTGTATAATTTCTTGTTAGACATTAACCTCAATCTTGTCAGAACTCCAAAAATACTTTGTTTTTAATGGAAGCTGAGTACAATATTGTGTTTCTAATGATTTTATTTTTCATAGTGCTAGGAATTTTACCAAATTATAATGTTGAGATGAGTAAAAGTTGGTGAATATAAAACAAATTCTAAAATAATTTTTTTTCTTTACACTTACACCCTTAATTAAGTATTTTGACTTCCATCTTTCAGATTGTCTAGCACTGGTTAATGAATTTTATTTACTCTGTAAAATACCCTTTCATGTAATGTAACAGAGCCACTGACTAGATCAGTTTCCATGGTTTCATTATCATGGTCTATAATAAGGGAACTTGCCACAGTCTGCCTTATCTTTAAAGTGTAATTAATTATCCTGTCATTCCTTATTATAATCTTTAAACTTGGAACTTTTGCTGAAAGTTGTCACCTTAGATTCCTCATGGAACCACTTAAGTTTTATTGGTTTTCAAAATAATGAAAGTGAATACAAAGCATGAACAATTTTGTAGAAAATATACAAATCACATTTCATATAATCACTCTTAATTTTTAAAGTTGTTAATGGAAGTTTATTTGGCCAAAATGATTCCATCATGTGACCACAGAAAAGCAAAGTACATGTGTTTTGTGTTACCCATTCACCTGAGGGCAGTTTAACAATATCCTAAATTTTATTAATATCTTATACTGGACTAACCTTTCAGAGTATATAAAATACTTCACATGTGAGTTGGCTAATTTATCATCCAGCTCTCATGAAAGCTAAGGAAAATGGACCCATTTTATAGGTGGGTGACTCTGAGAGTTGACTTGTCTATTATCTTCTAAGTAATGCATCTAGGACTAGAACTTGGGTTCTTTCCCAGTAAAGATTTGTGTAGATTTGGAAAGTATTGCTGTAATACTAGTGCTGTTAATTAATTTTTCATTAGATTTTATTAAACTTATTAGATTGTAACAATAAGTACATTTTATTTCTTGACATTTCAGTGTTATTTTATTGTTTCATTGTTCCCTTTTTGGATACTGTTTATTGTGCTAGTTTTAATAGGACACTTCAATTTTAAATGTACCCAGACTTTTGAATTTATAATCGTTTTATATTGGTCTAATTTTTGTGCTTTCTACAAATAACTTTGCTTCACATTTATAGATATGTAGTCTGCATGCACAACCTAGTTTTTCATCAAGCCTTTATTAGATATGATGTCTGTAGTGCAGTAGGTGTTTTGAGGAGCACCCAGGAAAAGTTGTCATTAGTGTTCTCACTGAAGGGAATTAAATCTAGTTCAGAAGAGAAAGCATGTACTAATTTGGTATCCTTTATCTGAGATTCTTGGTCCCGAAGTGTTTCAGAATTTTCTTTTAAATTTTTAAGTATTTGTGTAGACTTTATAGAATATTCTTAATCTGCACATCTGAAATCCAATATGCTCCAAAATTCAGAGCCTTTTGAGCATTGACATGATAACTCAGAAAGTTTTGTATTTTGGAACATTTCAGATTTTGGATTTTCAAATTAGAGGTGTTCAACCTATGCTGGACACCAAAGGACTAGTGAACAGGAATTGAGAAATAAATGCAAAAACTGTATGTATGTATTATAGGTACATAGAGTAATAGATTGATTGAATGTGGTTATATTAAGGAAGGCTTCTTAAATGTGAGATTTAAACTCTTAGAAAAGATAAATTGTTAAAAGTATGTTTGGCAATGGGGGAATTGTGATATTATGGGGAGTAGGAATAATAGACCAGAAGATTGGAGTTAACAAATTGGGTATTAGAGATGCCAAGTTAGAAAATAGGTAGAGATGAAAACCGAAGAATAGTAAAGAAGGGAATTTGGTTGGGAGACAGAAAGAAGTTGTTTGGGAGGTGGGGTTTAGATTTGGTAGAAGGAATGGCTACAGTTAGTTCTTGAACAGTGAATTAGCAGGTGTTTACTTGCCAGGACCCATCAAATATAAGGCATGAGTTAGATAATTGAGTAATAAGGCAGCTCAATGAAAATAGTGGTGTCTGTGGAGGAGTTTATGGTGCAACTGGACTTGATTGGGAGCCTGTTGTAGCCATCAAGACACTGAAGGACTGAGAATGTTAACTTTGTTAATTTTGGAAGTGGGAATTTGAATAGTTTAATAGACATTACTACTGAAAGAGTATATGTCAGAAAATAATATAGAAAGTGCCTTTTAGATTTTGCATTGAGATAGGCCAGCCTAAAATTTTTGTGACAGATTTTTTCCCAATTTACCCTCCATCATTTCACCAGATCAAGAATTTCTCAGTAATGATCATATTTGATAATTATCACTGTTGATTATTTACTATATCCCAGGCACTGTTATAGGTTCTTTGCATGTAAAATTATTTATCTTCAGAACAACCTTGAAGATATTTGATATCATCCTTGTGGTATCAATGAATAGTTTAAAGATAATAAATATTTTTTCTAAGTATACAGCCATAACTTTTTGTTGCACCAGGGTTCAACATCAAGTTAATTCTGAAGGCTGTGCTGTGTTGATTAACTTTTAAAATACAATTCCTTTATCTGCCTTAAATTTTCAAAAATTTTACATGTGTCATTTCCTCCTTCAACCTGAAATTTTTATCTGTATTTTTAAATTCTTAATTATGCTTCATATTGTATTGAAAATTTAACTAATGAATGTATAATGTCTGGGTCACTTGGCAAAATACACACTGAACTTTATAGGAAAATGATAAAAGAATAAAAGATACCATGAAAAGTTCAAGTGTCATAATAATGAGGCTGGTTAGAATTATCAAAAATATGATACTAATTATTTTAATAATTTCTTATTAGTCAGGATTTGCATGAATATGTTGAAGAAGCTGGTGCACTGAAGAAAAATCATGCTTGTGTGACACTTGTGAACTCCTCAAAAGCTGCAGATTCTGCCTGTCTGCCTACAGAAGATGAGTCATTAAGCACTGAGAGCTGTGAAGTGCCTGCAGAACAAACTCCAAGCAGTGATCCAGAGAGTACCCTAGAAGTAAATGATGCTGAAGCGACAGGGGAAAAAGAAAACCATAGTGATGATAAAACTTCAGAAGAAAAAACAAATGAAAATGTGCCTACAGCAGAGGACACTGCAGAGCAACCAAAGAAAAATCGGATTACTTACTCACAGATTGTTAAAGAAGGCAGGAGATTTAATATTGATTTAGTGTCAAAGGTAAGTACTAATTTTACCCACTTTCTTATAGAACAACACATTGATTAAAAATAGCATCTGTACCCATAAATCCAGTTTGCTCAATTTTAGTCTTTGACGTGTACAACATTTGTTTTATAAAAAGACTAGTCAAAATTTTATAACTCAGTTAAGGTATTCTTTAACTACAGGTTACAAATATACTAAATGCTTATATAAAGTTACTTTATGTGTTTTTAATTTGCTCTTAAATAGTACTTTCATACTTGAAGAATGGTTTTATGCTAGAACACATAGTTCATCCTGATATTCTTCTATGAATCTATGAAGAATTCTGATGAAACTGTTTACAAACCTATGTTCTTACAGTTTGCATCAACTTTTTTTTAGCTTTTATATATAGTCTAGCTATTCTAATATCTGTGTAATAGTGAATATTCTTAGCAAATCAATGCATTTTTGAAAGTCATATGTTCATGATCAAGGAATTTAGAGGATAATTTCATAGTAATGGGAACAGGGAGGCTGGGAAGAATGCTTTTGTCTTTGGTTATGTTTCCATCCTTAACTTTTTATTTTCAGTTTATTTTTCATTCAATATAATTTATTGGCTTTTTTAGTGCATTATATTTATACATAATAGTGGGGTACATTTTGACATATTCATAAATGCATATAACAATAGTTTTTTTTTCCATTTCAATCTCGACTTCTTCCTCTTTACAGTTTTAACTCTTAGTTCAGTGTGATTTCAGAAAAGGTAGGGTTCAGTGTTCTATTGGGTTCATAGGAAACAAGGCTATTTTAGTGTAAAATAATAGAAAACTAGTAGGATAAAGGATCATGTCCTTAAATGTTTGGTGAAAGTAGAGACAAAATGGCAATCAAATCCTGTAAGTTGAGGGTACAGAGTGAAACATTGGAAAGAAGTAGAGAGGGTAGTAAATTACATCAAATTACCTCAAAACTAGACTTTTTTTCAATTTAATGTACTTTATTTGGGTTCCGAGTGATGGGGGGGGTGAGGGTCCAACACATGCCCCTCATATTTTGCTGATATAATCACATATTTTCAAACTCTTGTTACCTTTAAAATTGGTGCTTGGAAATGTGTACATAATTTTATTATTTTTCATTCTATCATAAAGCACTGTGTCTGAGTCATGGTCTGTGTTGGCTACTTCCTACTTCATATTTCTGTATCGTCTATTCCACTTTCTCCATCAACTTTGACCCTGCCATGCACAGAAAACTAGCATTTTTTTTTCCTTTTACTTTGGCTGTTCATCTCTGGATGGAAGCTTAATTCTAGTTCACTAATAACCTTCCTGTTCTTATGAAGAGTATTCTTGAAATCAGTTTTAAAAAGTAAACAAAAAACAAGGCAGTCTAAGAAAAAATTGGCCTTATTCTGAAAATTACACTTTGAATTACTTACTTGAAATTTTGATTCTCTTACTAAAGAAACAATGATATGAATGTGGTTAAGAATCAAGACTAAAGTCAGGTGCTGTGATATATGCCTGCAGTTCCAGCTACTTAGGAAACTGAGACAGGAGGATCTCTCGAGCCCGGTAATTGAAAATCAGCCTGGGCCACATAGCAAGATCCTGTCTCAAAAAGAAAAATGACTCTATATTCTTCTAAGTTAGCTAAAATACAGTATGTATCTTACTAAAGAAAATGGGAGAAGATTGTGTTGTTGTAAATGTAGGAATTGTTTTAGAAAAAAACTGAACGAAAAATGAATGTTAATTATAGGAATGAAGTTTACCTAGAAGCTGAGAAAATTGAGGAGATCCTGAAGGAGATTTTTGGGTGCTTTCACTGGCTTGAGTGGTTAGTAATACTAGTTCTCTGGATAAATAAAAGACAAATATGTCCAGAGGCATTAGACTAAGCAGTTGTACTTTGTCTTGCATAGTTTTCATGGGTTTTTACATCTAAACATAATCAGTAATCATTTCTTGTACTTATTCTACAAAAGTATCTACAGAACATGTAATCATAACATAAAGGAAGTTTATAGATATTTTTAAAATGATAATCATTCTACAAGCATTTATTTAGTGCTAACTGAATTGAAAATCATATAGTCCATGTTTTGGGGACAAAGAGTCACTCCATGGAAATTTTATCTGTTCTAATAATTACAGTTGTTACCTCTAAGTTTAGGATACCTGCTTTAAATCTACCTTTAGCCCTCTCTCTTTCCTAAAGTCATTTAATGTGTGCAAACTACTTGATGTTTCTATGCATATTCCATCTTAAAGTCATCATATCAAGAAATAACAGTGGGCTTTATAGTTTATAAAACATGCCTATCATATAATCATTTAAAAGTCATCTCAGGGAAGGTTAATTAATTTAAATACATACAGTTGTATAGTGTTCAAACTATTAAAGAAATCAAAGATAAAATTCTTAAAATTTATTTCTGAATAAGTCCATAATTTTAATTATAGAGCCAACATGCCAAGTACAGCAAAGAATATTATTAAAGCTATTTCCCATTATTTTCATCAAATTCAGTTTTCTGAAGTTGATGTTGTAGACTACTAAGTGGTGAAAAAGAGATTAAGTTAAAATAATGTACACATTTATTGATGCTGAGTTTCAGAATCAATATTATAATTTTAGTTACAATTGATTCACACTCTTCAGTGGTATCTTAAATGACTTACTTTTAAAGGTGGTGTTAAATATTAAGCTTTAGCCACGTTCGGTGGTACATACTTGTAATCCCAGCAACTCAGGAGGTTAAGGCAGGAGGGTCACAAGTTCACAGCTAGCCTCAGCAAGGTAGAGAAGCCCTAAGGAAGTTAGACCTTGTCTCAAAATTAAAAAAAATATATATATAAAGGGCTGGAGATGTGACTTGGTGATTAAGTGTCCCGGGTTCAATCCCTAGTACAACAAGAAAAAAAAAAATCTTTATTAGATCTTATAAGCACATGTCTGTATTTTATATATTAACATTTGTGAATGAATATATTATAGCTGTTAAGGAATCTTTGAATCTCCATTTTTTTAAAACAAGTAAGGTTTTTCAAGTATCTTTTATTATTATACAATTATTACATCTAAAAATAACCAATAATAACTTATTGTGCTCATTCTACAAAAGTAGAAGTATCTAAAGAATGTGTCTACTAGTATGTATAATTATAATGAACCGGTAAAAATTTTTAAAAATAGTTTTATAAACACAGGCTTTATCTTAGTTGTGAGGTATGTTAGGAAGAAGGTAATGAAATAACATGTCATACTTAGCATAATAAGGTTAGTGTTTTAATGCAATGACAATTTTGTACTATGTAATGCTGAAGTATTATAATAGTTTATAAAATTAGATGCTCAGACTTTAGGTTGATTTTTGAGATCCCCTTCTTCGGTAAAGCAAATTTTATTTTATTTTTCTTACTACTTATAGATGCAACATTTACATTTGTCATATTTATTGAGTTGTAGACATTATTTAAAGGTAGCATGATTAGAATAAGTAGGCAGATTTCTTGCATTTAACCATATGGTTAAATCTAAAACATGCTGGATAATAATGTTTTTGTCTCTTTGATATTAGTTATGAAACATGTTGAAAGATTGAAATATTAAGTCAGCCCATCACATACATGCTGGCAATAACAATCCTCACTTCTTGAGGAATATGTATTTCATCTAGACTGCTGGAATTACAAAGGGACTTTATAATTTGACACTTTCGGAATGCATCACAAATCTCTCTTTCTTTCTTTCTTTCTTTCTTTCTTTCTTTCTTTCTTTCTTTCTTTCTTTCTTTCTTTTCTTTCTTTCTTTCTTTCTTTCTTTCTTTCTTTCTTTCTTTNTTCTTTCTTTCTTTCTTTCTTTCTTTCTTTCTTTCTTTCTTCTTTCTTTCTTTCTTTTTGTGTGTGTGCAGAGGGGAGTAACACCTAGCTCATATCTTCGTGTAACCACATGGCATTATATAGGTAGTCTAGTCTAGTCCTTTATCCAAAACCCTTGTTTTCTGGTATTTTCTGTAATTCAGATTTATACAGACACACATATTCACTAGGGAATATATAATTATATATTATATGTAAAATATATATAAGCATATATATTAGGGCTGGGGCTGTGGCTCAGTAGTAGAGCTCTTGCCTGGCATGTACGAGGCACTGGATTTGATTCTCAGCACTGCATATAAAATAAAGGTCCATTAACAACAAAAAAAATATTAAAACAACATATATTTTAGAAAGCAATACAATGCTTATGCTGATATGCTGTGTATTATGTAACATTCTTAGATATAGAATACTCTAACTAAACACATTAACATTACTGATATGTATACATATTCAAATATATTGTGACAGAAGAGCCTTATATCAATTTGGGTCAGGTTTTACTGCCAGATGAATTATGAAAATACTTTTGGATTGTACAGGGTATTTTTCCCGGGGGGGGGTGGATTTCAGATAATTAATTTTGAAACAGTAGTACATTGTGTTATATGTTATAATTTATATTTATAGACTTGTTGTAAATCTAAAAACTAATACAATTATATATATTTAGTGTTTATTCTGTTTTCATTATTTTGCCTTTTATACTATAAAATATTTTCTTTGTACAGCTCCTGTATTCTCGGGGAATGCTAATTGATCTTCTAATCAAATCTAATGTTAGTCGATATGCAGAATTTAAAAATATCACCAGGATTCTTGCTTTTCGAGAAGGAAGAATGGAACAGGTACTATGCTAATCAAGTATTGTATCTGAATATGTGCTTAAGTTTTTATGGTTCATTTTGGAAGGATAAGCAAATAAGATTGCCGTCTTTCCTGGTAAGGGAGTAAATTCCTCTTGCATCAGGGTTTACAAATGTAAATGGCAAAATTTGTTTAATTAAATTTTCTTGGGTTAGTTTTTTTTTTCTAGTGTTAGTTTTTCATGAGTTATTCTGCAGTATTCGTTTTAGGCAGTACTGCTAGATTTGAACTGTCATTTGTTCCCCATTAAGGGTGATTTGCCATTGGACTTTCAGTGGCATAAAGAGTGGGTTTGCAAAATTAAGTAAGAAAGGTCACAAGTTAAATAGCTCTGAAGTTAACAGAGATGCTGTTAGAATTGATGTAAGGTAACATGAAACAGCTATAGTTAAATGGAAATAATCATCATGTTATACTTAAAGAGGAAGAACTGTAATTTGGAATATTTTTATCATTAACTTAAAAATCATAATTTTTTCAGGTCCCTTGTTCCAGAGCTGATGTCTTTAATAGCAAACAACTTACTATGGTAGAAAAGCGAATGCTGATGAAATTTCTTACCTTTTGTATGGAATATGAGGAACATCCTGATGAATATAAAGGTATTATTTTTCATTCAGTCATGTTTTCCACTTTAAGCTTTTTAATATACTTGGTGAACATCTTATTATTGTTACTTATTACTGCTACTTATTACTGTATTTATTGTTTTAAAATGCATTTCATTTATGCAGTATTGAATAAGTGGGCCATTATTTACATTATCTATTTAAAATTAGATAAAATTTAAAATTCAGTTCCATAGTATCACTAGCCATTTCAAATTGCTAGTAAACATATGTACAGATATTTTGAACATTTCGGAAATTCTAAGTCCACTCAGTACAGCCAGATTTTTTTCCTCGGTGGTTATGTAAAATTACATCCTTTCAGTAAATTTTTATATTTTTTATTTATTTAAATTATTTCTATAAAGAGTTTGTCTTTGGTCATGGGATTTCATTTGCTACCATTAATTGTCCAATTACAATGTTTTCTGCTCTTGATTTAAAGAAGTATTTTTTTAGGCATTCCTTATGTTTGTATACATGATTGTATGAAAGTATAACTGATTATAATTAGCCACACAGAAATTAGTTCTGTTGCTTTTTTGTCATAGTTCATTATTTAACAAAAGTTTCATATTACTCTGTTATTTTGATCAATAGATTTCCATTTTGTCACATTCAATATTTTCAACTGTAATTATTGGCATTGTTGTGCAGTTGAAGTGTTAATAAGGCAAGAATATTGCCAATAATGGCAACCCATTGTGTTACTTACTGATTTTCTGATTTTTTTTAAATCCATAAAACACTAAACAGAGATTTTACTTTCAGTCCAATTAGGACAGTAAGAGTGTTCCTTTTTTTCTTCAGATCAACAGTCACAGTCCAAAATGTTGTTTTGTTTCCGAATTCAAGTGTGTTTTAAAGACTTCAGAAACAATACAACATTTTGAACACACTTGATCACATTTGTGTGGGATGATTTTAAATAGAAATTTAGTTCTGATTTCAATTGATAAATTTTTATCTTTCTTTTCATAGCCTATGAAGACATTACATTTTCTGAGTATTTAAAAACTCAAAAATTAACCCCAAACCTCCAGTATTTTGTCCTGCATTCAATTGCAATGACATCAGAGACAACCAGCAGTACCATTGATGGTCTCAAAGCTACCAAAAACTTTCTTCACTGCCTTGGGCGGTATGGCAACACTCCATTTTTGTTTCCTTTATATGGCCAAGGAGAACTTCCTCAGTGTTTCTGCAGGTAAGTTTGCCATTGATTTTCTGGTCTCTTCTAAAGGTGATGCATGAATGACATAAAAATTACAACAAAATGAGATTTATTCAAGATTTATAAGATGCAGACACATACATTGTTCTGCTTTTTTGTAATCTATTTACTTGCTTACCTATCCATCTCAATAATGACAGGCCATTTGGACTATTTTTTAAAATTTTTTAGTTGTAGATGGACACAATATCTTTATTATATTTTTTTTATGTGGTGCTGAGGATCGAACCTAGTGCCTCATGCATGCCAGGCAAGTGCTCAACCACTGAGCTACAACCCCAGCCTTGGACTATTTTCTTTTTTTTTTTTTGAGCTTTAAAAATTCTGAATATTTTTGTACCTAGTGTTAGATTTCAAAGCTTCATACTTTTCTATAATCATGTTTTTTTTTTAAATTGTGCTCTTGTATTTCATTGTGAATGTACCTTCATCTGTTTGCATTTTTCTGTCAGTGGACACAGGATGTTTTCATTTTTTGTTATTAGCATCCTTATATGTTGATTCAGGATATGTGTGTTCAAGAGTTTCTCTAGAATACATATGTACGAGAAGAATTCCTGAGTTATGGAATATGTGAATGTTTAGCATTTTACAACATTGACCCCAGTTGTTTTTCTAGAGAGTTATGTCTGTTACATTCTACTAGTAGTATATAAGAACTTCTATAACTCTACATGTTTGTAGTATTTTCATTAAATTTTATTCTAAGTGATTTTTTTTGTTGTTGTTGTTCTCAGGATTGAACCTAGGGGCATTTTACCACTGAGCCACATCCCCATCCCTTTTTATTTTTTATTTTGAGACAGGGTCTTGCTTAGTTGCTGAGGCTGGTCTCCAACTTGTGACCCTCCTGCCTCAGCCTCCAGAGTTCCTGTGCCTGGCTATTCCAAGAGTTTTTATTTCTGTTATAATTTCTTCATTGATCCATGAGTTATTAAGAATAATTTGGTTAATTCTTCTGCCCTTAGCATTGAATTTAATTACATTATGGCATTTATGCTACTTAATCCTGGAGCTTTGTTGGCATTTATTTTATGGCTTACAATATCATTAATTTTTACAATTTTTTCATATGTTCTTAAGAGTATTTTTATTTAGTTGTTGGTAGGTACATGATTCTCTAATTATTGGTATCAGGGTCCAATAAATCAAGCTTTAAGTTGTAATTTTCAAACTTTATTTTAATTGAATATTTTCTTTGCTTTATCATTTGTAGAGAAATATGTTTTAAATATTTCACATTTCTCATTATGTTGCTAGATTTGTCTATTTCTCCCTATAATTCTGTCAATATGTAGTTTATATTTTGGGGTTATTTATTAATATTAGTAGAAATTTATATTTTTTAATATTCAGATGAATTTAATATTTACTTAATCAATGTCTTTCTCCCCCCCAATTCCTATAATGCTTTTTTCCCCTTTAAATCCACTTTGCTGGATATTCATATGATTATTCCAACTTTTCATATTTGACGCTTATAACTTTCTCCATCCTTTTAATTTCCAAATTTTTAGAATCTATATTTAGGTCTCTTGTTGGCATAGTCTTGATTTTTATTCCTATGCTGCCTATCTGACAGTCTCTCTTTTACTGAGCAGGATGAATGCTGCTAAAAAGAGTCTGTTTCTTCTTTCTGAAATGTAGAATTTTAAAAGCTCCTYTAGTTTACATCTGTTTGTAGTAAATTTTTTAGTTTTATATATATGAAAATAACTTCAAAATGTTTTTAGTAGTACATTAATTAAAAATAATAGTGGGGTTCATTTTGATGTAGTCATACATGTTTTATAATGTAATTTGTTCCATTTCAATCCCCAATACTTTCACTTTCCCTCCCCTTTTTTTTGCAGTGCTTGGGATTTAACCCAGGGCCCTGTGCATGCTAGCCAAATGCTCTACTACTGAGCTATACTCCCAGTTCTTATGTATAATTTTTGATAGTTCCTTTTATATGTTCATTTTTTGAATCTTTCTGCTTCTTTAAATCATTCATATTATAAATATTTTACATTCTTTCTGTTCATTCTAACAAATATTCATAATGGTCTGATACTGCCATTTTTTATTACTGCTGATTCACCTTAGTGTTTTGTTTCCTTCTGCAATGCTTGAGAATTTATATCTGACTCACTTTAGTTTGAATCTCAAATTAAGAATGCTTTTCTTCTGGAATTGTTTGTGTCTGCTCATTCCCAAAGCCCTATAAACATGGGAGCATTTTGTTCTTTTCAGGGAATTCTCCTTTAATAATACAGATGGCATCTAGTTATCCTGGCCCAAGGGGTTTTTTTTAATCTAATTTTTATTGTAGTCTTTTATTGCTCAAAACTTTGATTTCAGTTCATTGTTTGTATAACACATGTATGGGTATATTTGATGATGGGGTGTTTATCATGGTGTCTCTTTTCCTTCTTTCTCATCGGTGCAATGAAAATTATGTTCATGCATTACCTAGTTTTTTGGTATTAACAGGAGGTCCCATCACAGTACCCATTCTATCATACTACTGGAAGTAGGTGTTTTCAAATTTATGTTTCCTAAATATGTCATCTTATAAATGGAAGTGAGAGTGTTGTGTAAATTGCACAGTAACTAATTTCAGAATATGTTCTGCGTATTTCCAAACAAACTTGTCCTCCTCCTATTTCAGGTCAAAGTAGGGATGAGGAGAGTGTGTCATGTCCCCCAGGACCAGAGGTCCTTCTATCAATTGAAACTAAGAAGAAAGTTCTGTGGTTTTCTTAATCACTCTGTCCCTCTTCCTGTGTCATTGCCTGATTCTATACTATACTGTTTTCTCTCATGTTGCCATGTGCTACTCTTACAGAACTTAATGGTAAGGAACAGGGACAGAATTAAAAGATCACTGGGAATTGACCTGAAGCTCAGTAGCTTTCTTAGTAGTACTTTATGAAAATAGATACAGGTTAAGCATCCTTAATCTAAAAGTTTGAAATCATAAATGTGCCAGAATCTGAAACTTTTTTTTTTATTGGTTGTTCAAAACCTTACAAAGCTCTTGACATATCATATTTCAAACATTAGTTTCAAGTGAGTTCTTTTTGAGCATCTTCATGATGCCACAAGTGGAAAGTTCCACACCTGATTTCATTTAACAAATTGCAAAATACAAATGCACTAAAAATATTGTATAAAATTATATTCGGGCTGTGTCTATAGGCTCATGGATTTTTGTGTTTAAATTTGGGTCTCATCCCTAAGATATTATATTTTGCAATTATTTAATAATAGGAAAAAATCTAAAATCTGAAAACCTTCTATTCCCAAGCATTTCAGAAAAGGTATATTTAAACTGTATTTAATCTCATTCCTCTTTTTTCATTAAATCCCTGTATTTCTTTCCTATTCAAACAGTTTATAAATATGTATTTGGGGTTTGTTTATCTAAGAGAAAAGACATTTAAATGTTTCATTTATCGTATACTGGTATAAAATTTCAGAATGAGATGCTAGACAAAGACCATTTTTCCCCAAAGATGGTTTTAGCATTCCAAAGACTGCTATTTTATCAGAACTCTCATCTTTTAATGCTTTGTAGCACCTGGGTCAGTATTGTACATGTGGTTCAGAATTAAAGGTTGTTATAAAAATTAGACCTCATCTTATCCATTTTAAGTATACTTTTAAGGAGCAATGTAATTAAATGTGTATATAATGGGAAAAAAAGACTTTTTCTGTTAAGTTTAAAGTATTATTTTAAACTTTTAAGTATTTCTTTGTTAATTAAGGAAACACTGATTTCTTTCTACATATTATACATATAGGACTATATGTGAATTATATGCATTTATTTGGCCTAAGGATATTAACTTTTAATTTTATATTGGGTTTTCTACATAATGCTTTATAATTCCATATAAATATTGCTGTTTATATCCTGAAGTGGTAACACTACCATTATCTATACATCATAGGCTACACTTTTTATCACCAGGTTATCAGTATAAGGTGTCACCTGTTTTATGATTTCTAACCATCATTCTGTATTCTGTTTTAATATAAGCTTCTTAAGCATTTCTCACAGCCAGTTACAGTGTGTTCTCATCAAGGCTACTGTTATAAATGGGATGCATGCATATTTATGTGAAGGATTCAAAGACATTTGTAAGTCATATCCTGCATTCTAAATGAATTCTGCTTAAGCAGTATAACATTTTAACTACTAGAGATAACTTTCATGAATAAACACCTTTTGAGGCTTTTATCATTTTAAATAGGTACTGTTTTTAAGCAAAGAAAATGAAGCTTATTTATTGCATTACCTAGTACCCATTAATATGTCAGCATATATAAACAGGACCATACTGGAAGAAAAGTCATGAAAATTTGTATATTTTTCTAGTCTAGCAATCCTTAGAACTTCCCTTAGTATATACATTAGCTAGTTAATATTTTTTTCTGGCCTACTGGACTGGACAGGATATGTATGTAATATATAGGATTTTAAATTCTCTTCCAAATAGAAGTCCTTTTTGAACCCTGACCTGATTAATTTATTTCTGTTATCTCTGTGGTTGACAACATAGTGCCCTTTAGAGCTGACTTAGTTCAGAATACATTTTATATATTGTGTTGTGTTTTTATAATGTGAAAAATGGAGCAGTAGTAGTGGAAGCAAATAAACTTTACTTGTTTTTTTGTTTATTTTATTTTTAATAAGTAGACCTAGACTGCTCAGAGGTTGTTACTTTTGTTTAAAAAAAAAAAAAAGGTCACTCCACTATTAACTGTGAAATTCAATCTTTCATGGCCTAGATTTGATCTGTTATTTTTCTTAATGTGGTAAGATTATTAAAAAATGAAAGGTGAGAATTTTAGCATGTAGCATAAATTTTATATACACATGCACACACAAGTAATCACCACCAAATACCTTTTACCAAGTGGTTGGGCTTAAACTACGTTTCACTGTTTAATATATATGGAAAAGTAAATAGTTTCCAAATAGT